AACAGTCTTTGACCTTTGGGAACTTACATTCTTCTGGGGAGAGACAACAAGTAGAGAGATAAGTCTCCACAAACGGATTTAATTTTGACTTTGGGAGTAAGTGATCCTTGGGAGATCAGGTGATGCCAATGAGATTAATCAGAAGAAAATCAGTGTGGACTGAGAGTCAAAGGATCTGGTTTTGAATCCAGTCTGTTGAATTACTACCTGGAGTGACTTTGGAGGAGTCACTTTTCTTTGCTTTTCTCCTCTGCAAGATGGGGAAGGAGAGGAGTCAGTTGGGGACCTTATAAGCTTCTTCCAGCTCCAGATGTATGATCTCAGGAGTCTGAGACCCTTGCTGCTCACTTTTGGATCTCAGGTTCCTCCTCTGAAAAATGAAGGGGCTGCCCTAGTTGATCTCTAAGCCCCCTTGCTACTCTCATGGGGCCGGTGAACCTGGGAATGGATTATTGGTTTGAAAGGCAATGGCATTCCCCCAATGTCGGGCTGTTGGAATTACATTGCCTTAATAATGCCTGACCTTTCTGTTGTCCTTTAAGGTTGGCAAACTGCTTTATGCCTGTTGAGATCATTCGAGCCTCCCAACTCTCCTTTGAGAGGCTGCCTGGTGCGGCAGAAGCTGCTGGTCAGAGTCAGGAAGATCGAGGTTCAGATCCTGAGTCCTGACAGCCTCCTAGCTTCTCTGCCTCCCTTTAACACTCAGACCAAATGGTGCCACCTTTCCCAGGAAGTGCCCAAGTAACCATGCCTTACTTTCTAAGGATAGCCTCTCAAAGGGAAGCTGTATGCATCCCTCTAGGGACATCGGGGAAGCTGTATGCTATGTGTGCCCTCCTTTATTAGACTGTGTTCTCCATGAGGGCAGGCTCTTGTTTTTCTTTTTCTTTGTAAAGTGGGTGCTTTACACAGGACCTGGCACACAGTAGGCATCTTATATCTACTTGTTGATTGTTTCATTGTGAGGTCCTGGGAAAATCCCTTAACCTCTCACGAGCCCTGGTACCGTTCTTATTTACAGACCAGATGCCAGCCTGCCTCAGGATGTCAATCTCCCTAGTGCCTTCCCACTAGGAGTTCCCAACACAGCTGAAATCACAGGTCTAAAACCCTCTCCCTGACAAAAAAAAAAAAAACCAACACAACAACAACAACCCTCCCTCCCCTCCCCCCCACAAGATAGATCCTATGCATGTTATCATCCCCATTTCATAAATGAGAAAATGAAGCTATTCATGTAGGAGGCAGGATTACAATCCATATCTTCCTGATTCCCAAGCCAGCCTCCTTAGCACACTGTCCCACCCTGCCAGGGTAGAAACAACATTCATCTGAAACATGAAGGCTGGAGGTTCAGTTGAAACACTATCCTGGAGATAACTCATTGATGGTGAGTTTGAAGCAAACAGCTACTTAGCAGGTTTTTGCCTTTCTTTGGGTCTCCAGTACTTAGCATAGTCTCCAGACCATCATTGACTGACAACCTATCTGCCCCCCCGACTATGGTCCCTAACTCCACTTAATGTTTGTGGTTACAGGCCCAAGTAACGGCAAGGATATGGCACTGGGTATTTTATCAGTGACTCCACATTAAGGTTAGTTTTCTGGGGGTCAGGGCTGTCTGAGACTTTCACATCTGACAAACTCAGTGAATGCGTCCCACTTCCCCTCCCCCTTCCAGGAGACCCTCAGGTAAAATCTGCTAGGCCATTTGTCTGGGATATATTATCAGCCAGAGTCCCCTTCCAACTCTAGAGAGCTAATTCAATCCTACAAGTATATATTAAGCACCTACTATGTTCAAGGAACCTCATTGGTCTCTGGGGACTCAAATACAAGATTTGTTCTTTGATTTCCATTATTCTGCGAAGATTTTCATTCAATTGGAGAGGCTCTGTCTCTGCATTCCCTAGTGCTAACTCTTTATTGTCTTCAGGGGCTAAGCACAGCAACTAGTCAGGAGGTCAGTAGGCCATTTCACAAAGGGGGAGACTGAGGCAATAAGCAAGATTTCCCAATGGACAGAATCAGAAAGAAATGCTCCTGGTGAGGAACATTCCCAGCCACCACCCCCCAATGTAAAAAAGCTGACAGAGGTGCCTGAGGCAGTGAGAAATTAAGAAGTGATTGGGCCAAGGTCATGTGCCAGTACAGGTCTGAGCTGGCTATCCATGCCAGTGACAATGGCTGCTCGTTTAGCAGGCTTAAAGTCTATCACACTACCTAGTGTGGGTGCTATTAGGCCCACTTTCCAGATGAAGAGATGGTGAGTGTCTTGGCTAAGGTCACACACACAGAGCTAGTAAGCATCCTGTCCCAGAGCTCCCCTCACCACACATACACACAGCAGTGCCCTGGGAGCTTACTCTGGCTGCTGGATGGTGCTGAGGAGGTTCGTTCTGATCTGTGGTGTTCTCCCCTTAAAAACAAGCCATACAAAGAGAACACACTCATTTTCTAGCATCTGTGGCTGAGGATATGTGGGCTGGAACAGAGGTTCTCTGGAGAGGGGAGGGGAGGATCTTTCTCAGGACACGGGCTGCAGGGCTCTCTTGCTTAGATCCTGGGTAAAGTAGGTCTCTCTTGGTTCAGGGGATTATGAAGGTCTCTCTCTTTCAGGACAGGCACTTCATGCTTCAGAAGCCGGGAAGGTCTCTCTCTCAGCAGGGGATTCGGGTCTAGACAGATACTCTCCTTAAGGACCAACCCTGCCCATCAAAGGACTCTCAGCTCAGAGATTGCCACAACTGTGCCTTTGCCTGGACTTGTTGATTCAGTCCTTCCTTGTGTCTGAAATCTGTGCCTAGCAAAGGCAAAGGGAGATCCGTAACCAGCAGCAGCGGGGAGGACTGGCCTTTGCTATGACAGGACTAGAAGGCAGGCTATTGGACAGAATTGAACTAGTCTACCCTAGAATCTGGCCTTGAATGCAAGCTGCACAGCAGGTGAAGGCAAGAGCCTGCCTGATTATCTCTGGAGCCACCCGGGCCCCAGAACCTGGCCCAGTACTTTTCCTTGTCTTTCTTGTGATTGTCTGACAAGAACTACCATTTATTTACATGGCCCGTAATTGTTGACACATTCATTTCTTCAACAAATTTATTTCCCTAATGCTTGTCGTACTGCAGGAGTTAGGATATAAAGACAATTCCTGTCCTCTGTCTTACTGACTGCTCTGGTAAGAACGGAAAGATACATAATCAATCTCTGGGCATTGACCACCAACCAGGGATCCCCAGAGATACAACAACAAACATAACAATCCCTGCCCTCAAGGAGGTTACTTTGTATTGGGGAAGAATAGCAAGCCTACTGATAAGCAGCCACCGAAAATATACAAAGTAACTTATTTTGGTGGGGAAGGACCCAACCCTCATTACCTTTATGTCATCCTTCCCCTGTGCCTTTGCTGGCAGAGGGCCCAGGCTCAGAAGCCAGCGCTTAAATTTTTTGAATAAACGGCTTTTCAAAGCATCCACGAAATGCTCAGCGGATGAACTATTTGTTTGAGATGACCATTCTCTGAGGCTTCGGAGATGGAGTGGTGAAGTGGATAGAACTTCGGGAACGGTAGAGCAGAGTTCGAATCCACCTGCCAGAGACTCGCTAGCTGTGTCCTGGCTGTACGAGAATCTTTGAATCTTACAGCATGCTTTCCCCTCTAAAAAGGAAGGTGATCTTAATAAAGCTGGACCCCTTCTGCTTCTTCAGATAAGTACGTTGTTTAAAGGAATCTGTCAAAAGGTGATCCTGGAGGTGTCATCCCCGGTTTACAGATGAGAAACCCTCACCGTCAGAGGGCTACTGAGAGTCATGGTTAGTTAGGGTTCGTACCTATGATTTCCAGACTTGATTCCAAGTCTGCTCTACATCCCCTGCCCAGGGCTGTTGTCAGAGGAGTTCTTCTCTAGACTCTGACGACAGATTTTTAAGTGTAGTCTCCCAGCCCAACTCAGCCGGAGGAGGCTCATCAACCAGGTTTCCCCCCCCCCACCATGATTTTTTTCAGCTATAGCATCCAAAGCCCAGTTCACTAAAGTGTAGGAGTCACTAACCTCCGTCGAGGTCCTGATCTCAGTTTCCATCTCCATCCCCCTAATTGAAGGCAGGGAGAGTTGTTTCTTCGAGGAAATAGGGAGGCCTCTTTGGGTTTCTCTAGAGAGGAAACTGAGACACAGGGCAGCCTAACAGTTTGCCAGGGTGGGAGAAGTGGTCCAAATAGCTCCAGACTAGTGTTCGGAATATGCTCCTTACTCTCTTGCCTGGGCACTTTCGGCTTTGGGGCTTGGGAGGGAGCAAGGCACAGACAGTAGGCTGGGGCCCCCAGGAAGGAGGGCTCAGAAAGGACCTGTCCCTTCTCGGGGATGCACCTGCTAACACACAGGCAGGACAGGGCAGCAGCACCGGGCTGACCTCCCTCTTTGAGTGACCGGCTGGCGGCCAGGCCAAAAGGTCACGGGCAGCTCTGTTAGAAGGAGGGTCAATGGCCAGTGTGGGAGAGGGAAGGCAGAATGGGGGCCCTGCTTCACCTTAAGGGCCAAAGGAGTGTTGGGGTGAAAGGAAAGCAAGGCAGGTGCACTGCCTGGCCCAGCCCCCATTTCCTCTCTTTCCCTTCCCTTCTCTCCCCCCCCTTTTTGCTCTCCCTTACCCCCTCCTCCAAGGAAGGGACCTCCCAACTACAGCTGGCAGAGGGGAGGAGAAAAGGGGGGTGAGGGAGGGGGAGCGCGCTGGCCACTGGGGTCCGGGAGGAGCCGCACGTGTGCGCCGTCCCGGGCGGGGGAGTCCCCGGGAGAGCACGTGCCGCGGCGCGCGGGGGGCGGGGAGTCCCGAGGAAGCTCTCGCCGCCGCTGCTTCCTCCTCCTCCTCCTCCTCCTCCTCCTCCTCCTCCTCCTCCTCCTCTCCTCCTCCTCCTCCTCCTCCTCCTCCTCCACCACCACCGCCACCGCCGCGCCCCCCCCCTCCCGCTCCCGCTCCGGCTCACGGCCCTCGCTGGGGGGCGGCTCTAACCCGCGGCGCCTGGGACTCCGGGAGGCGCCAGTAGCGGCGGCAGTGGCTCTGCGGAAACTTTGCCCCCCGGCCGGCCGGCCGGCGCTCTGCCGCCTGCCCAGAGCCCAGCACCCAGTCTCGCCGCCGCCTCCTCCTCCTCCACCACCCCCCTTTGTGTGCCCCGCCCCGGAGGCGGTGGCGGCGGGCAGGTCGGTGCAGTCGGTCCTCTTCCGGCTCCGGGCTGGGGGAGGGGGAGGCTCCGAGGCCCTGGAGGGGGAAAGGAAGGAGGGGGGCTGGGCCGAGCCGGGTCGGGGGCTGGGAGCCGGGGGAGCAGGCAGGCAAGCAGGCAGACCGGCTGCCGCGGGGGAGGGGGCCGGGCAATTGGCCCCAGTCGAGACTGGGTTCGGGGCACGACCCTACCCCGGTGCCAGCGGGGTGAGCAGGCGGGCCGAACGAGCGGGGGCGGGGGAGGCGGCGGTGGCGGCGGTGGCGGCTGCGGTGTCCTAGCCTAACCTAGTCCGTCTCGGCCAGCCCGGCCGGGCTTGGGGGCGGCGGCGGCCGCTACATTGTTGCACGGGGGCGCTGCGGGAGAGATACAGTGTAGCGGAGCCAGGGCGGGGAGGGGAGGGGAGGAAGAGAAGCAAGAGGGGTGGGGAGCGCCGGGCGGGGGGCGGGGGAAGCCGCCGGGAGCCCGAGCCGCCGCCGAGTTCCCAGAACAAAGGAGCCCGAGCGGCGGCGGTGGCAGCTGCAGCGCGCGGCGGCTGGCCCCTCCAGCTCTCTGAGACCCGAGCACCGGGCAGCCCTCCCCGCACCCCTATTCCCTGTGCTGCTTCTCGGGGCCAGGCAGAAGGCTCCAGGACTGGGCGGGAAAGGGGGGGCGCTCAGGCACTGGGGCCGGGGCCTTGGAAGGGGGGATCCCTACCCCCACCTTCGCCCGGGGGCGAGGGGCAGAAACCCCCTAGCCCTTCAGCGCCTTCCAGCTAGAGGAAAACTTTTAATTTTAACTACTGAGACCCCGTGGGGAAGACCGATAGACCTTGGCACCCCCACCCCAGGAGAATTTGGGGGGTGAAGCTGTTGAAGGCTCCTAGGGGCCCAACTTCCTTGGAAGTCTCCCACAAGGGGAGGAGCTTTCCCCACCTCTCCCCCCCTTTGAACCGAGCCTTTGGTAAATATTGGTGCCTCCTCCTCCACCCCCCCCCCCCCATCCCCCGCCGAGGGTATGAGTCTAGTCTAGGTTTGATCATGTGCCCCTCCCCCGAATTAGGAAAAGGATTTGGTAAAGTTGTCCCTGATCCCAAGGTGATGAGCCTCTCCCCCCACCACTTCTTTCTCTGTTCCTCTCCCAGGCTGTACCACCTTCGTTCTACTTCATCCTGGTTCCTGGAAGAGAAACCCCACCCCCATTGAGAAGCCCTCCCCTCCCTTTCCCACCTACCAGCCCCTCTCCCCATCCAGCTTCCTCACCTGGTGCTCTGGTACCCCTTCAGGGAGGGTGAAAGACAGCACCTAGGGTCAGAATGATACCATCCCGGGAGGCTGCTGCTGGTATCCTTCCCCAGATCCCAGGCCCTGGCAAGTGGGAAAGTGGCCCCCAGCTGTGCCAGACCCTAGTGGGCCACAGAAGGTGAAGAGCAGCGGAGCTTGTAAGGAAGCCTGGTGGACAGCAGGCAGCTCAGCTCTCCTGACTTCAGGTGTAGGGGGCCCTTACCTGGAGTGTTGGCAGCGGGTCCTATGCCCCCTGCCCTGGCAGTGCTATGAGCCAGTTTCAGATGCCAGTGCCCATCCAGCCGGAGCCACCGGGACTTCCCAACTTCCCTCAGGGCAAGGTGATGCCAGGGAGCTTCAGAGGGGCTGGGCTCCCCACTGGGGTGGCAGGGAGCACAGAGCAACAGCCTGGGGGGTGTGGAGATGGCCGGAAAAAGCGCAAGCGATGTGGGATGTGTGAGCCCTGTCGGCGACTGGAAAACTGCGGGGCATGTACCAGTTGCACCAATCGGAGGACCCACCAGATTTGCAAACTTCGAAAATGTGAGCTGCTGAAGAAGAAAGCCAGCCTGCTCAAGGAGGTAAGCCACCTGGCAGTCCTAGAGGGAGGGGCCCCACTGGCAAGAGGTTGGGGGGACATTGCCCTACCCTGGTGCCATTGGGATGAGCAGGTGCACCGCAAAGTCCCATCTGGCATGGAGGGAGCTTGGCTCTGGAAAGGTCCTGCATGGCATGGGACTTGGGGGATGTGGGGAAGGAAGGAAGACTCCAGAAGGGATTCCTGGTCCAGGCTGACTGGGCCAAATTTGGGTAGCTCTTTGGTGGGTATTGGAAAAGTCATCTGGGGGGTTTCCAGCAGCCATGGCAGGGTTAACAATCTGGCAAAAAAGCCTGACACTCCCTGCCCAGCCACTTAATCTTGGACAGCTGTGAGCCATTAGCCTCTTCTTTGATGTTTGCCCTTAACTTAGTTGGGGGGAGAAGGCAATCAGCTTTCTTAGTTTCTCCCTTCTTGGTGAGAAAACCTGAGGTGGTCTTAACCAGTTGCAGAGGAGATAGATACCTGTGAAGGGGCCTGCTGCTGACATTCAGGTGCTGGTGCCACTGGAAGGGGGTGGGATGTCCAGCATGAGTGACGTGTGATTTTCATTTTACTGGGGATTTGGGGGGGGGGGGAAGCTGTGACAGGCACCTGATTTTCTGGGGAAGTCTCCCACAAGGGGTGGGGCTTTCCAATGGGAACATCAATCCACCTCCATCAAGTGTCAGTCTGCTCTGGCTGTGTCAGTGACAGCCTTTTTGTCCTCATCCCATCCTTCTTCCCATCTCAGAAGTCCTAGACATGGAGCCTTAGCACATAGTAGATACAATAGGAAAAAAAAAAGGCTGCATTTGGAGGGCCTGCTTTAACATCCTCGCTCTGGTGCTTGTTAACTTCCCTGTAATTCATCTGTAAAATGAGGTCAGCCCCTCTGGCTCCATTTCCAGGGTCCTCCAAGCAGATGGGCTTTGAAGTCCTCATGAGCCCCAAAACTACTCTTGGGGTTGGGAAAGGGAATAGCGGGGAAATGCGAAGGACCAGAAATGGTAGACCTTTGTGTTACTTTTCCATCATCCTGCCTAGTCTCTTGCACCCAGTTCCCATCTGGAATGAGCTTGTTGTGGCCAGCAGGAATCCCGGCAGTGCAGGCTTGGCCAGCGCTGCAAATAGAGTTGGTAGACCTCGAGAGGGGAGAACTAGAGCTGACAACAGTAGAAGGGATAGCCCAATCCCCTGGCCTGGGAATTCCGTGGCTGGACTTCAAGAGCAGCTTAACCCTCTTAGGGTGAACTCCTGCAGCTTGGGAGCTACAATAGACAGGGCTCTCATAGGAGAAGAGCTCAGGGAGCTCCTTCCTGCCAGAGAAACTGGGCTGGGGTTGGTGCTAGGGCAACCCTGGCCCCCTTGCTAGAAAGAGGCTTGTTTGTTTGTTTGTTTTCTTCCTGGGACGGACAGTGCCCTTAGCATTTGAATTTTCTACTTGTCTGTTTAACTACAAGGTGAGATTTCACCCCAGGCTTCCAATCTAGGTTTAAAGCAGATACCCAGATCACATCTTAGTTCTCTCCAAACCTGGGGCTATCATTCTGTGTTGCCATCTAGAGCAGTTTTGCTTAAAGTCGGCTAGCATTTGTGAAAGCACCTACTATGTGTCAGCCCTTGGATCTGGAACTTGTAGGATGGAGATATTCATCATAGATTAAGAGCCGGAGAAGACCCAAAGCCAGGCCTGAGTTTACAGATAAGGAAGCCAGGGAGGTCAAGTGACTTGTTCTGAGTCTCACAGCTAGCTACAGTTCTAGAACTGGAAGGGGCTTTAACTCCTTGAGGCAAATCCCCTCATTTTACATTTTAATAACCTGAGGCCCAGGGAGTTGATTGACTTGTCCATGGAAGAACTGGGAATGGAGCTTGTGTCTAATTTCTTTAAAATTATTTTTATTTATTTCACTAAATATTTCCTAATTACATGTAAAAAAAATCTCCTTGACAATTGTTTTTAAAATTCTGAGTTCTGAATTCTCTCCTTCCCTCTGGACCCTCACTCCTTGAGAAGGCAAGCAGTTTGATATCGATTATACATGTGAAGTCATGCAAAAATTTCCATGTTAGCTGTGTTGCAAAAGAAAACACAACATAAAACAAAAAAAAAAGTAAAGTGAGTTTAAAAAAAGGTACACTTGAATCTTCATTGAGAGTTAATCAGTTCTCTCTAGAGGTGGATAGCATTTTTCGTCATGGGCCCTTTAAATTGTCTTGGGTCATTGTCTTGATCAGAGTAGCTAAGTCTTTCACAGTTGATTGTCATACAATATTGTTATACTATGTACTTTGTTCTTCTGGTTCTGCTCACTTCACTTTCTATCTGTCCATGTAAGTCTTTCCAGATGTTTCTGAAACACTCCTGCTATTCATTTCTTATAGCACAATCATACAATATACCATGATGTGTTCAGCCATTCCCCAGTTGGTGGGCATCTCCTCTATTTCCAATTTCCTGCCACCACAGAAAGCTGCTATAGATATTTTTGTACAAATAGTTCCTTTTCCCTTTTCTTTTTGCTCTTTGGGATACAGACCTATGGGTGGTATTGCTGGGACAAAGAGTAGGCAGAGATTTATCGCCCTATGGGCATGGTTCCAAATTGTTCTCCAGACTGGTTGGACTAGGGAAGCTGAGTCTTCCGATTACAGCCAGTGTCCTTTCCCCCTGGACCTTGAGTCCTCTATGTCACATTCCTTTGTTTGCTTCATCAGTCCCCGAAGAGAAGACCATCCCTTCTTCGTTCCTAGAAGCACGGCCTAGCCTTGGGTAAAGGATAGCCCTGGAAGATCACTGATTTACATCCGTCCCTTGAATCTCAGGAATTTGCTTCAGTAGATTCAGTTCCTCCTGCTTGTCCTCTGCCCAGCCTAGCCCTCCCCACCACCATTAATTCCACTGCCATTTATTTAGTAGGTGCCTACTTCTGGGCCTTGGGGGCAATACAAAGATAATGAAGCCAAGGGCCCTGATCTTAGGAAGCCTCTGCTCTAACCTGAGGCATATGACCCATACATAAACAGGCCTCAGATACTATATATATAGTGCAATAGTGGAGAATCAGATTGGAAAGGACCTTCCTTAGAAGCTGCTAGTCCAACTGAATCTGAACAAAGGTTGCCTCTCCAGCCAATGCAACTGGGAAATGAGCATTCCTCCTTTGCTGGAAGGACTCCACTGAGGGCTATTCCTCCTCCTCCCACTTGGGGATTAGGGTGAGTAGGCAGGGCCCGTTTTCACTTTTGTCTTTGTATCCCCTGTACCCACCACAGTGCCTGGCACACAGCAGGTGCTGACTAAATGCTTATTGATAAACTTCCAAAAATGTCTTGTTCCAAAGTGAATACAAAACTCCAGATGTCCTCTGATTTGGGAAGAGTGCACTGGGACAGCTACCCACTTATCTCCACCTGTCTGTGATAACACGCATTCCTTTAAGAAAACTGAGAGCCAGATTTAAAGGACCCAGCCCCTGCCTGCCGGCAAAGACCTTCTAGTTCCCTGTTTGTGGACCAGCACTGTAGCTGTCTCAGGTCTTCTCTCCTAGGCTTAACTCTGCACCCCCAAGTCCTTCAGAGATGCTTCCATCCCCAGTCTACTAACTGTCCTAATCTAGCCTTTCCCCACCTTTTCTATGCCCCTTCTAAAATGTGGCTCACAGAAATGACCACTCTCTTAAGGACTGATGCGAGCAGAGGACAGAGGGATGGCAGCTTCCTCATTCCCAGAAAGCTGTGCCTTTCTTTCATGGCCATCTGAAATCTTTGTAGCCTTTTTCCCTTTGATGTCCCAGGGTCCTGAGATACTTGGGTCTCAGGTCCTTGTCAGACAAGCTGGTGTCTACACACTTCCTCTGGTTGGTATTGGTTGAATTTTTGAACCCAAGTGCACAAATTTACATTTATCCCTCTTGCATTTTATCTTATTATGTTGAACCAGTCATGAGGTATGTGTGTTAGTTGTCTCCCCACCCTACCTAAGGTATGTGCCCTGCAAATTTGACAAGAGTGCCAACTTTCTCCAAGCCCTGCTAGCAATGTTGAACAGAATGAGTCAGAGGGCCCTGGACTCTGGACGTCCCTCCAAATTGATACAGACCCATCAATGTCTATACTTTTGGGGTCTGGTCACAATACCAGATTGACAGCATTCAGTGGTATTTCTGCCAGGCCCATTAGGCACTGTTCGTTTAGTCTAGGAGTTAGAGACTAGATCTGTGATTTCTTTCTGATGAGGAGCTTGGATGAAGAGGCTCTCTCTGCTGAGGCAGGTAGATACCTTCTCTGTGACTTAGAGTCTCAGAGAGTTTCCTGAAGCAGAAAGGTCTCACACATTGCCTGCTCAGCTCCCACAGCCCTGTGGAATGGGCCTGGAGCACATGAAAATGTAATTGGGAAATATTGAATGAAATAAGTAAAGCTACGATAAAGCAGACAATAGTACATATTAAAGCTAAGTCATCCTGCAGCCCACAGGGTCCTCCTGTGTGGATTAGTGGCTCTGTCCCTATTTGAGTTGGACACCACTGGCCTAGAGCTCTGAGAGGTCTTGTCACAGTATCAGCATGAGTCTGCGATGGTGTTTGAACCCAGGTCTTCCTGGCTTCCACAAGCCATGGTGACTCCACCAAGGACCTAAGCAATTATTTTATGTGCCATATATCATATGATGGAATTTTGCTAGGAATCAAAGTCCATCTCACTGGCCTATGGTTTGTAGACTATATTCCTTTCACGTATGTTCTTCTGCCATCCTGTGGCATCTCATTCCTTCTTTTTTTTTTTGAGGCAATCAGGGTTAAGTGACTTGTCATACATCTAGTAAGCATCTGAGGCTGGATTTGAACTCATGACTTCAGGGCCGGTGCTCTATCCACTGCACCACCTACCTGCCCCCATTTCATTCCTTCTTGATCTTTCTGTTACAGTCTGGTTTCATAATCCTGTCTGCAGATCTGAAAACTTGAATTCTTCTCAGGATGGCCACCTAGCCCATGC